TTTAAAAAATATAAAAACATTTATGATACAAAAAGCAGTTCTACTACATTTAATAAAATAAGAGCAATAATGCTGCACTGTAATCTAGGTAACATCATTGCAAAGCCACGATATATATATACACACACACACACACACACACACACGACCACAGAGACACACACACACACACACACACCACACACACAAACACACACACACATAAAACATAACTACAGTACAAAAAGCACATTAAAAATGGAAACACAAGTCCTTTGAAAGCTATACAAGGTTGGAGAAAAAGAACGTTGACCCTCTTAGGTCATGTTCATTGGGAACTTCAAGGTCCAAGTTTCCTGGATGAAAGTCAAGCCCTCCAAGTGTGTTATATTTACGATTTGGCCTCTTTTGATTTTGTGCTTGATTGGGAAAAACAGTCACATAGTATCCATCTGAAGTGTTAGATGCTCTCATTCTTGAATCTGGAGAAAATTGTGGCAAACGTGTATTGTGTTTGATATGGCCAGATGGGATTCTTCTGGGGTCCCTCATGCCAGTGTTAACTCCAGATGGGGAGATTGCGTGTCCATGGCTGTGTGGAGCCTGGAGATTAAGGTTGGAACCTCTAGCTCTAAGCACATGATGTTTTCCTGTAAAGTCGTCAATATTGAGATCTGAATGATTTAAATCAATATGTTGGTGGAAAACGCCATCCATTCCAGGGAAGCTGGATCTTACTTTGGTTCTATGGGACCTTCTATCAGTATTACGAAGTCTGATATCACCATCTATGTCCAGGTCAGGAAGTTTCATGGTGAGATTTGACATATCTTGTGTGTGATGTTTATGTGAAGGTGTTTGAAAATACAATGAAGGATCATCAATACTAAGACCTGGAGATCTCAGATGCTGCTGTGGAGGGTGCATTGCAACTTTGGGCATGTTGAGGTTCATGTTTGGAGCACTAACCCTTGGGCTTGATATATGTCCCTTCATCTGGGGTTGTTTCATATTCAGTTTTCCATTTGGAGGATTAATATCAAGATTTGTTGGTCTCAAAGCTCCACCAAAGTCAATATCAGATGCTTGATGTAAATCTGGGCTTCTAAATTGAGGCGGCTTGAAATATGGTTGTTTTAATTTTCTGTCTAAATCAAGATCAGCATGAGGGCCATGGATGTTTCCTAAGGGAATATTTGTGTCAACATCTGGACCTCTTATGCCTCTTAACTGAGGGCCATTAAAGTCCATCCTAGGTTGTCCCATGTTACCATTAATCCCTACATCAGGGTGTTTTGTATTGAGCTTGGGACTCTTGAAATTGGCATCAGGTAAATTGAAATCTGACATACTAACGCCAGGTGCAGAAAGTCTCATATGTGGTGTTTTTGCCTGTGGTCCAGAGATACTGAGATCTGGTGTATTTAAACTTGGGGTTTTAAATTTTCCTTTTGCACCAGTAACATCTAAAGTTGCCTCAGGCAAACCAATGTCAACATCTGCAGTGTCCATTTCCAAGTTGGGAGCTTTGAGATCCATGTTTGGTAAGTCTACCTTAGTCACATCAAGTCCACCTTTCATCTTTGGAGCTTTGAGATTCAGATCTGGAGTTTTTAGATTTGAATTTAATTTCAAATTTGGGCCTTTTGGTACTTTAGCTCTGACATCTGGTGAATTGAGGTCAACCTTTGGGAGATCTGTTTTTGGTGCAGAAAATCCCAAATCAAGCATTTTCAAATGTGGTGTTTTAAATTTCCCCGAAGGGCTACCAAAGTCAACATCAGGGAATTCAAAGCCATTTTTAGAACCTTTAAAGTCTATATTTGATGAAGGTAGATTAGGTGCATCAAGTGCAACTTTCACTTTTGGACCTTTGACTTTCAAATTTTGTTCGAAGTCTGGCCCATCTAATTTTGGTCGAGAAAATCCGACATCAGGTAATTTTAAATTTGGAGATTTTAACTTTCCTGATGGGCTACCAAAATCAACATCAGGCATTTCTAAGCCAGTTTTGGAACCTTTGAAATTGGCATTTGGTGCCCTGAGGTCAATGTTGGAGCCGTCAAAAGTGCCATCAAACTCAGGTCCTTTAAGATTTGGTAGATTACTCTTAGACATTTTCAGTTTTGGCATTTTCAGCTTCCCTTTTGGTGTGCCAGTGTTGATATCTGGAGTGTTCATATCTAATTTGGGAGCTTTAAGATCCATGTCTGGTAAGTCCATATCAGGTGCATCAATTCCACCCTTTATCTTTGGAGCTTTTAGATTGAGATCTGGGCCTTCTAACTTTGGACCAGAAAGACCTAAATCAGGCAGATTCAGGTTTGGCTTTTTAAACTTGCCAGATGGACCAGAAATATCTAGATCAAGATCCGCTTTAGGACCTTTGAGGTTGACATTGGGTGTATTTATGTTTGGACCTTCCAAGTTGCCATCAATTTCAGGACCTTTAAGGCTTGGAAGGTTGAATTTAGGCATTTTCATTTTGGGGAATTTCAGCTTCCCTTTTGGTGAGCCAATGTTGACATCTGGAGTGTTCATATCTAATTTGGGAGCTTTAAGATCCATGTCTGGTAAGTCCATATCAGGTGCATCAATTCCACCCTTTATCTTTGGAGCTTTTAGATTGAGATCTGGTGACTTCAGATCTGTGTTTAGGTCCAAATTTGGTCCTTTAGGCAGTGTCCCTGACAGATTAAATTTAGGCATTTTTAATTTCCCAGAAGGAGCATTAACATCCCAATCTGGACCATCAAGTTTTGGCATTTTAACTTTGCCTGATGGCAAGTCCAAGTTGGCATTTGGTTTATCCATTTTCAGCTTTGGGGCTTTGAGGTCAATGTTTGGCATGTTTATGTCAGGTGCATTTATTCCACCACTGAAATTGGGACCAGAGATATCTAGGTCAGGTGTTTTAAGGTCCAAGTTAGGGCCTTCTAACTTTGGACCAGAAAGCCCCAAATCAGGCAGATTCAGGTTTGGCTTTTTAAACTTGCCAGATGGACCAGAAATATCTAGATCAAGATCCGCTTTAGGACCTTTGAGGTTGACATTGGGTGTATTTATGTTTGGACCTTCCAAGTTGCCATCAATTTCAGGACCTTTAAGGCTTGGAAGGTTGAATTTAGGCATTTTCATTTTGGGGAATTTCAGCTTCCCTTTTGGTGAGCCAATGTTGACATCTGGAGTGTTCATATCTAATTTGGGAGCTTTAAGATCCATGTCTGGTAAGTCCATATCAGGTGCATCAATTCCACCCTTTATCTTTGGAGCTTTTAGATTGAGATCTGGTGACTTCAGATCTGTGTTTAGGTCCAAATTTGGTCCTTTAGGCAGTGTCCCTGACAGATTAAATTTAGGCATTTTTAATTTCCCAGAAGGAGCATTAACATCCCAATCTGGACCATCAAGTTTTGGCATTTTAACTTTGCCTGATGGCAAGTCCAAGTTGGCATTTGGTTTATCCATTTTCAGCTTTGGGGCTTTGAGGTCAATGTTTGGCATGTTTATGTCAGGTGCATTTATTCCACCACTGAAATTGGGACCAGAGATATCTAGGTCAGGTGTTTTAAGGTCCAAGTTAGGGCCTTCTAACTTTGGACCAGAAAGCCCCAAATCAGGCAGATTCAGGTTTGGCTTTTTAAACTTGCCAGATGGACCAGAAATATCTAGATCAAGATCCGCTTTAGGACCTTTGAGGTTGACATTGGGTGTATTTATGTTTGGACCTTCCAAGTTGCCATCAATTTCAGGACCTTTAAGGCTTGGAAGGTTGAATTTAGGCATTTTCATTTTGGGGAATTTCAGCTTCCCTTTTGGTGAGCCAATGTTGACATCTGGAGTGTTCATATCTAATTTGGGAGCTTTAAGATCCATGTCTGGTAAGTCCATATCAGGTGCATCAATTCCACCCTTTATCTTTGGAGCTTTTAGATTGAGATCTGGTGACTTCAGATCTGTGTTTAGGTCCAAATTTGGTCCTTTAGGCAGTGTCCCTGACAGATTAAATTTAGGCATTTTTAATTTCCCAGAAGGAGCATTAACATCCCAATCTGGACCATCAAGTTTTGGCATTTTAACTTTGCCTGATGGCAAGTCCAAGTTGGCATTTGGTTTATCCATTTTCAGCTTTGGGGCTTTGAGGTCAATGTTTGGCATGTTTATGTCAGGTGCATTTATTCCACCACTGAAATTGGGACCAGAGATATCTAGGTCAGGTGTTTTAAGGTCCAAGTTAGGGCCTTCTAACTTTGGACCAGAAAGCCCCAAATCAGGCAGATTCAGGTTTTTTGAAGTTTTGGCGCAGAGGAACTGGCCCTACTCGTCAGGAGAGGAGAGATTTGCCAGCAGCAGTGCTGGAAATGTTGCGCCAGTGGAGGAAACTAGTAGAAAAGGAGGGCGTTCTTTATCGGCAGATTTTTCAGCCAGATGGGGGGGGAACCAGTGTGCCAATTAGTGGTCCCTCAGAGTCTCAAGAAGGAGGTTTTACATGGCTTGCATAATGACCATGGTCACCAGGGAACTGACAGGACAGCAGACTTAATACGCAAGAGGTGTTATTGGCCAGGTATGTTTAAGGAGGTTCAGGATTACTGTCAGCAATGTGAATGTTGTGCACAGGCTAAAGCAGTTTATCCCAAACCTAAAACAACCATGGGTCACCTCATGGCTGCGAAGCCCAATCAGATTCTGGCAATTGATTTCACATGCCTTGAACCCTCCGTTGATGGCCGTGAAAATGTATTGATTCTTACTGATGTGTTTTCAAAGTTCACTCAGGCCATTTCTACTAAGGATCAAAAGGCAACTACTGTGGCCAGTGTTTTGGTTTATGAGTGGTTTTATCGCTTTGGTGTTCCCTCTAGGATCCACTCCGATCAGGGGAGGAGTTTTGAAGGAGCATTAGTTCAGCAGCTATGCCAGTTATATGGTGTGGAAAAGACTCGCACCACTCCTTACCACCCACAAGGTAATGGCCAGTGTGAGCGTTTTAATCGGACTCTGCATGATCTGTTGAGAACCCTGCCCCCTGAGCAAAAGCGTCATTGGCCCATGTATTTACAGCAGCTCACCTTTGCTTACAATACCACAATCCATCAAACTACGGGTGAGTCACCCTATTTTCTTATGTTTGGCCAAGAGCCCCAGCTCCCAATTGACTTCCTGTTAGGCAGAGTGGAGGAACCCACTCATGGCCCGGTGCACACTTGGGTCCAAGAGCATCAGAAACGTCTAGATGTAGCTTATAAAGGTGTGAGTAACCGCACCAAAGCAGCAGCGACGCTGCGTGCAGATCGTCAACCTGCCCCAGCTTCTGACCCCTTGCCATTGCATCAGTTAGTGTATTTGAGAGATCATAGCATTCGGGGACGGAATAAAATCCAAGATTTTTGGGGTGTTACACCGTATTGTATTGTCTGTGCCCCTGCTGATGCTGGTCCTGTGTATACAGTGGCCCCACTCCATGATCCAGAACAGAAAAGACAGGTTAACAGACAATTGATCAAGCCGATCCCTGCTGATATCTGTGAGAAAATAAGGGCAGAGCTCCAGCAAACTCCTAACCCTAGAAGTTCACCTGACCGGTTACCCTTGTCTGAGGATGAGGGAGACTTTTATGTGTGGCAACGAAGGGAGTCCCCAAGAGGTGACCCCCAAAGTGTACAAACTGATTCTGCAACTTGTCCCCAACAACCCCCAGAAGACCTGGCTATAGTAATGAGGCCGCAGTCCAGTGGGACTGAGCCTGGTACCCTGACTCCACAGTGTAGCGTCCCCACTCCATTAGCTGAAAGTGGTTCAGTTAGAAGAACGACACGCTCAACAGCTGGCCACCATTCCAATCCACAACATCTGCCCCAATCAGCTGAAGCCAGGCCACCTAGTGTACATTCAGTTACAGCTTTTTATAGACCGTGGCTTTAAAGTTTCATTGTCGGGTGGCCAATGCAAAAACCAGGGGGGAGAATGTGACAGGTGAGACCTGGAGACTTGGGACCGCCCCTGGTGGGCGGAGCTGGTCTTCGCTCCTTTCATAAGCGCAGGTGTGGGCAATTGGGTATTCCTTTGCAAACCTGAAGCTGCGAGTGCTTGGTCCAAGTTGGGCATGTTGGTGTTTCTTAACTATGAAAGTCTGATACGCGTCCTCCCCTAAACTTCTGTTAGAACGGTGGGAAACATTGCTCCCGTGAGAACGGTATAGTGGACTTCATCGCCACTGACCCACATTTATTAGGGTGTGACACGAACTTGCGGACAGAGTACCGAGCTGCTGCTTTGCCAGGTGGATTTCTGGCTGCGGGCAAAGGACCCGACACATCAGTGTGTTTTAATTTGTTTTAAACTGGTGTAAGCCGACAGACTGACTGCTGCGGCTGTCGATGGTTTTGGTTTTTTTGTTTTACTTTTTCTGTATCAGTAGGCACCACAGATATTGATTCGCAGGCGGTGAAGGCGCTGCAGGGAAAACAAATCCTTTTTTTGTCTCCCCGCTCTTGCATGCACAGCGGGGGGCCCGAGTGGAGACGGCACCGAAGATTTGCTTTTTTTTTCTATAGTGTTTTACCCATTTGGGGTCATGTGTGAGTTGCCGTCCATTTTTAACCTGTGTGCTATGTTGATTTGTTTTTAAACTGTTCTCCGCAGCGCTTGTCCTGTCTCACGGGCAATCGTACAGTCTTATCGTTTTTTAATAAGGTAACGTTTTTAATTGTTTTTAGGTGCTGCTGTTACACTGTTTCTTTTATTTTGTATTAAAAATTAAACTCTTTTAAACTGACTGTGCGCCTACGGCTCTGTCCTATTTTAAATAGGTAACTACCACGGGTCACATATGGTTTGCATTAAACGTTTTGAATCTAAATGAGATTGTACTATTTGGACCGTCTGACCCTCGTTTATTTTTAAGGGTGACCTTGGCCCTCTGGAAAAGTCCAGAATTCCCTTTGCAAAAAATCTGGGAGTGTTCTTTGATGGCAGTTTTTCATTTGAGAAACAAATAAATTCTACTGTAAAAGCAAGCTTCTTCCAGCTCAGGGCCCTTGCAAAAACTAAGAATATTTTGCCATTTGCTGAGTTTGAGAAAGTGATCCCCACTCCTCCCCTCTTGTCCTTGAAGCCTTTTCTTTTTCCCGCCCTCCTTCCTTTGCCTTCAGTTCCATTTCAAAAAAGAGAAAACTTTTTTGAAATGGAACTTGACTACTGTAATAGTCTTTATTTTGGTATCAGCTAGGCTCTGCTCTCTCGTCTTCAGCTTGTTCAGATGCTGCAGCCCGACTCTTGACAGGGACACATAAACATGGCCATATTTCCCCAGTCTTGGCTCATTTAAACTGGCTTCCAGTACATTATATAATTGATTTTAAGATGTTATGGTCTCTAAATGGATTAGCTCCGTCATACCTCTCTGATCTTTTAACTAAAAATGTAGTCACCTGAAATGGTTGCCATGGTGCCTTGTTCACAAGGTCAGTTTTGGAAGAGATGGACAGCAGAATGAAGGCAAAAGGCAATGTCATCATGAAAATAAAGACAAACCATTTGGTAGGACAAATGACTAATGGGAAAAAAATATCTGGGAAAAGACTTACTCATTTATTTTTCAACAGCACAATGACCCCAAACACACTTCCTGGCTGGAAGTGTGTTTAAGGACTATTTGACCAAGAAGGAGAGTGATGGAGTGCTGCGTCAGATGGCCTGGCCTCCACAGTCACTTGACCTAAACCCAGTTGAGATAGTTTGACTGTGTCAATACCGAAGGACAAATGACTAATGGAAAAAAAATCTGGAGAAATACTTACTGGTGGAGGCTCGTATGCAAGCCATTCCTGAAAAAATACATACAGTCATAAGTTCTTCCAACAAACATTGCTGCCCAGTACAATGAAAAACAGGAAGTTTATAACTCAGATGATTCTATTACTTAGAAACTGACTGTCTCATCCCACAACAATGAAAACAAAGATGGCTGAACATCTATGCGAGGAGTGCCAACATTGAAGTTATATTTTCTAACTTTATCTCCTACTTTGCGCAGTATGTAGGGTCTGTTGGATCTTTACCTTACAATAAAAAGCTCCTGCTATTGTGATTTTTCTCCTGCTATTGTGTAAACTGAACTGCTTGCCAAGCTGGATCAACTCTAACCAGTCGCACAGCATAATTAAGCAGGAATCCTGGTAAACCTACTTTGTCATGATTTCAAGAAACCTATTTTGTTTTGGAACAAGTGGAATGTTATCTTGAAAACAGAGTCGACAGAATACTTCTCTACAGCCAAAAAACAAAAACAGAAAGAAAGAAAGTCGAGGTGTCAGTGAGTACAATTTCCTTCACCATCAAAAAGCACTCAGAACCTGGGGCAAACTCTGACAGGAAGAGGTCTGGCAGACCCAAAGCCACAACTGAATCAGAGGTTTCTGAGAAATAACAGCTTCCATGGCTCACAGGAAAACTCAAGCTCAACCACAGCTTAATAGTGGTTGTAGTAAACAAGTCTCAGTTTCAAAGATGCTTCCACAGTGTGTGGCATCAACTTTCAACCGTGGAGGTCGAAGAGGGCGCCAGTTTAGCTCAGTGTGTTGAGCGGGAGACCACATGCCATGCATCTGACAGCAGCTGGCCCGGTTTTGAATCTGACCCGTGGACCTTTGCTGCATGTCTTCTCTCTTTCCTTGCTTCCCTATTCTTTCTTCACTGTGTCTATCAAATAAAGCTGAAAAAGGCCAAAAAGAAAAAAGAAAGAAGAAAAAAAAACAGGAGGAGGAAGTGTGATGGTCTGTAGCTGTTTTGCTGGATCCAGGCTTAGTGACTTATACAGAGTGAGAGGCCCCATGAACCAAAACCACTACCACAGCATTCTGCTGAGCCATGTAATACCCTATGGGCCTGCCTATTGGTCAGGGGTTCATCCTACAGCTAGATAATGACCCAAAATACAAGTCCAAGCTATTCCAGAACTACACCAGGAAAAAAGAACAAGATGGTAAGCTTGAAACCATGAAGTGGCCAGCACAGTCTCCAGAGCTAAACCCCATCAAGCTAGTTTAGGGTGAACTGGACCGAAGAGTGAAAGCAAAGCAACCTACAGGTGCTGCATGTTTATGGAAACTTCTGCAACAGATATGGGAAGAACTCTCTCAAGAATATTTAATTTCTATTGTTGAAAGAATGCAACGGGTGTGTTCAGCTGTTATTTTTGCCAAAGGTGGCTACTTTGATGAGTTTAGAATACATTTGCTATATAAATTGATTCCATGATTTCTTTCTCTTTTTTGTAACT